AGAAGTTGGTTGTTCTGTAGACGTTTATCTGTTGATGACATTTTGACCTCCTGAATTCTGCAATGAGATTTTCGTGTCGATTCAGCCGAGACGGCCCGAGTGGAGTTTCATGTAAATGTTTCGTACGGAAAAAAAATCGCATACCGCCAAGACAGATTGGAAACGCAGGGACAAATACATACAAACTCCTTGTCTCTCATACGTCCGCATTATATTTATTTATACTCTTTTTTATTTATATCTGTACGTATACCTGATGAAGGACGATACCCGAAAAACGTTCGTGTACTTAATAGACTACTTTTGGCAACACTAGACACCTCTCAAGAGTTTTTATTTATATATATGTTTGCCGATGCAGCTTTTAAGTTTCTCCTTAACGTCATTAAAATTTCCCCTTAGCGGCAGTGTTTTCTACGAAGCTGTTTAAGGGACATGGGGAATTTTTTAAAAATTTTCCCGTACGTACGCCTTATTAAGTTGTACGTACGCCTTATAAGTCGTACGTACGCCTTATGGGTTATTAAAGGCCGGTTCCCACTAAACTTGTCAAGCGAAAGCGTCGAGCGTCACGGAGGAAAAGGGCTGTGAGACGAATCAGATAAAATCCTCGGGATTAACATTCCCAGAACTCTATAATGAATCAAAAGAGTGAATATAAACACAGTTTTTTTTAGTTCATATTTATTCAAGGCCTAGAGCTAGGCCTCCTAAGGGTAGATAGTAGGTCTAGCCTACCCTACCATACGGTAGGTCTGGTGTAGCAGGGTATCAGAGGCCTAGGCTGGACAAGCCTAATACTGGTAGAAAGAGGAGATAACTCAACTCGTCTCTGCAAATCCTTTTCCACGCCTTGTCACATATTTTCTTCGCTCCCTTGTCACAGACCTAAACAAGGGTAGCCTACTGTTCCACAGAGTTTGCATGAAACGGACTCGTCGGTCATCGTTCGCACATCTGTACATTGTTTTGACAATGTTCGTGACTTCATTGTTGACCTTTGACATAAATTGAATTTAAGCCTTGCGATTGGTCCATCGGGCGCGAATTCGCTCGCGAATCCGAAAAAGTTGGTCTTGGACATAGAGCTATTAAACAACTAGAGTGCTGACAAGATGGCGGAGCAATGCAGAGTTATGTACGTGTACCATCCAAGATGACCGTCCTAGTAAAGCGCCACCTTTAGGCTTAGTATACATATTATTACCATAAATAAGCCCTCTAACTGAATATTATTTCATTAATGATAATTAGTATTGATAATGACAAATTATTAAACTGTCGTAGCCAAAAAGAGGCCAAGTAGAGCATCTTATTCAAATATTAAAAAGAATTAAAATCATGTACATTACACCCATACACCGCAACGCTCGAGTTTCAAAATACGGGTAACTAGCTGTACTGAACTTTCTGTGTAAATTGAGGGCGCAATTGAAAATGAT